ATATGGTCCAGCAATTTCACTTCTGAGTATGTATCAAAAGAATTGAAAGCAGAATTTCTTTTGTTTTAGAGACAGAGTCTCACTTTGTTGCCCTCGGTAGAGTGCAGTGGTGTCATAGCTCACAGCAACCTCTAGCTCCTGGGCTTAGGCGGTTCTCTTGCCTCAGCCTCCTGAGTAGCTGGGACTACAGGCACCTGCTACAGTGCTCAGCTATTTTTTTGTTGCAGTTTGACCGGGGCCAGGTTCGACCTGCCACCCTTGGTATATGGGGCCGGCGCCCTACCCACTTAGCCGCAGGTGCTGCCCGAAAGCAAAATTTCTAAGAGATTTGCACACCCATATGGATACCAGAATTATTCACAATAGCTAGACAGTGGGAACAACCCAGTTGTTCACTGATAGATGAATAGACCAACAAATGTGGCATGAGATGAATAGATCAACAAAATGTGGCACATAACATGACAATGGATCATTATTCAGCTATGAATGTTCTAATCCTTAGAATCTGTAAATATGTTGCCTTCTATGGCAAAAGGGACTCTAGATGTGATGAAATTAAGAATTTTTTTTTTTTTTGAGACAGAGTTTCAATTTGTTGCTCTAGATAGATTGCTATGGTGTCATAGTTAACAGTAACCTCAAACTCCCAGGATCAAGCGATTCACTTGCCTCAGCCTCACAAGTAGCTGGGACTACAGGCACCCACAACAATGCCTGACTATTTTTTAGAGACGGGGGTCACACTCTTGCTCAGGCTGGTCTTGAACTGGTGAGCTCAAGCAGTCCACCCACCTTGGCCTCCCAGAGTGTTAGGACTACAGGTGTGAACCACTGTACCCAGCCAAAATTAAGAATCTTAAATATGGAAGAGTATCCTGGATTATCCAGGTGGACCCAATGTAATCATCAGGGCATTCTAAAAGGAAGGCAGGAAATCAGAGTAAAGATTCTGTGCAGCTGGGTTTGGAGACAGACGAAGGGGTCCCAGGCAGCATCTAAAAGCTGGAAGAGGCAAAGCACACATTCTCCCCCGGGGGCTCCCGAAGGAACCAGCTTTTTTGATACCTGGAGGTCAGCCACAACTGTGAGAATAAATTTGTTTTTAGCCACTAGATTTGTGCTAAATTTTTTTTGTTTTGTTTTTGAGACAGAGTCTCACTCTGTCACCCAGGTTAGAGTGCAGTGATGTCAGGCTAGCTCACAGCAACCTCCAACTGTTGGGTTCAAGGGACCTTCTTTCCTCATTCTCCCAAGTAGTTGGGACTACAGGCGCCTGCCACAATGCTGGGCTAATTTTTGTACTTCTACAACTTTTGCTCAGGCTGGTCTGGAACATCTCACCTCAAGGGATCCTCCCACCTCAGCCTCCCAGAATGCTATGATTATAGGCTACCAACTGGTCCAAATACTGTGCTGTTTTTTACAGCAGACATGGGAAACTGATCCACTCTACATTTGTTGTTAGAGAAGCCCAGTGATAGGGTGAGGAGTGCAGGTTCTAGCACAAGGCTATACCACTTGCCAGCTCTATAACCATGGTAATTTAATCTCACCAAAAATTCAGCCTCATCTGTTAAATGAGAAAAACAATCATTATTGTAACTTAATTATTTTTGAGACAGAGTCTCAAGCTGTCACCCTAGGTAGAGTGCTGTGGCATCCACAGCTACCTCAAACTCTTGGACTTAAGCAATTCACTTGCCTTAGCCTCCCAAGTAGCTGGGACTACAGGCGCCTGCCAGAATGCCCGGCTATTTTTGTTGTTGTTGTTTGGCATGCCCAGGTTGGGTTCGAACCTGCCAGCTCTAGTGTATGTGGCTGGCACCCTAGCTGCTGAGCCACAGGCCCCGAGCCCATTATTGTTACTTACTAAGAATTTATTGGCTGGGCACAGTGGCTCACACCTGTAATCTCAGTACTCTGGGAGGCCAAGGTGGGTGGATTGCCTGAGCTCATGAGTTCAAGACCAGCCTGAGCAAGAGCAAGACCCCCATCTCTAAAAATAGCTGGACATTGTG